ATATTTTATGGAGATTTTAATAAAAAGTTTAGATTTTGTTTACATTTCTATGAGTTGATTTGAGCGCGTATTTCAAATTCATTATAATTTTGAATGCTTATTACCTTGGTTATATATATTTATTATAATTATTACCTATGCAATAAAATAATGAGATAAGTTGAAGATGTATAGAAGAAATCGTAAATCAATCGAAATAATTTTGTATCTGTATATATCTATTATTATTGTATATTTTTATTGCAAATGTTTATAATTCAATTTCATGTAAATCATCAATTAAAAAATCTTTTTTTTTTCATATAGGTTTATTGCCGATCAAAATAATACAATTTTTTAAGGCAATATGCTGGGTGTAAATTAAAAAAAAAAAATGAGAATAAAAATATAATAAGTACCAACTGCCTCGATTATCAATAAATGCATAGCATGTAACATTTGCTGTATATTTTATACTATTTATGCAGTCTATTATATTCTTAAATATTTTATGACATAAAATCAGTTAAACAAATATTTTCATATTTCATTAATTTCCATCACGTTTCCGACTATGAAATGCCATGTGTCTTTTCTGAGTACTTGATTGTGTGAATGTCTTATTACAAATATTGCATTCATAGGGTCGTACTCCATTATGAATCATCATGTGAATTTTCAGATCACTTGATTGTGTGAATGTCTTTGTGCATGTACTGCATTCATAGGGGCGCTCATCACTGTGAATGACCATGTGTCGTTTCATATTACCTAACAGCTTGAATGACTTATTGCATATACTGCATTCATGGGGGCTCGCTTCACTATGCACCACCATGTGATGTTTTAGATTACTTAATTCTGTGAATGTCTTATTACAAATGTTGCATTCATGGGGTCGTACCCCGTTGTGTATCATCATGTGACTTTTCAGACAACTTGATTGTCTGAATGTCTTCTTGCACATGCTGCATTTATAAGGACGCTCACAACTGTGAATGACCATGTGACGTTTCAGATTACTTAGTTCTGTGAAAGTCTTGTTGCATATATTGCAATCATAGGGGCGCTCACCACTGTGAATGACCATGTGCTTTTTCAGACTACCTAATTCTGTGAATTTTTTATTACAAGTATTGCATTCATGGGGTCGTACTCCACTGTGAATTAGCATGTGATTTTTTAGACTACTGAATTGTGTGAATGTCTTATTGCATATACTGCATTCATGGGAGCGAACGTTATTGTGAGTTAGTAAATGAGTTTTTAAAGCAATTGATTGTCTGAATGTTTTACTGCATACGTCACATTTAAAAGAGCAGACTTCAGAATGTGTAATCATATGTGATTTCAAACCTTTTGATAGTTTGAAAGTCTTGTGGCAGATTTCGCATTTAAAAAGGCGTTTTTTGCTGTGACTAGGCATATGAGCAACCATATGCTCTTTTAAATGATCTGATTCTGCAAATGATTGATTACAAATTCCACATTCATATATGGATGTCTCGATTGACTCCTGTTTGACTTCTTCTTTTATTGTCACCTCGGAATTAATGAATCTTTCTAAATGCGTTTCATCTTTTTCAGAACACAAGTCAGATTTAACAATATCATCAAGAACATCTAATTCCTCCACAACTTCGGATTTAATGTCTTCTTCTGAAAATTCTAGTGGTTCAATTTTAATTGTCTGATCACTCATGGACATAATAGTTTCTTCTGACATTTTTAAATATTTTTACTCAATAAATATTAGTTTAAATATACTCAATAATAATGATAATATAGTTTAATTAAGATTTATAAATATTGCAAATGATTTCAACTAATTTGACATTTGAAGCATAGAGTATATTTTCGGAAAGATGAGACATTTATCTGATAGCTTCCACATTTAACGTAAGTGGCGCGTATTTCAAATTCATTATGATTTTGAATTATTATTACCTTGTTTATGTTTATTTATTTATGATTGCATGTGCATCAATATTTATTTTTCTATTTGAGGACAATATTTATTAACCGATGTTTAAAAATATTGCATCAATATTTATATTCAATTTGAGGACAATATTGGACAAGGCCATTTATAAAGAATATTGCCTTAATATCGATTCATGTTGGCCTGATCGATTAGTTGACATCATCACAGGGCAATATTGATAATTGCAGCCACATAAATCCAATGTTGGCAATATATGAGACCGAGATTAATTTCTACATGGGCATGAATTTAAAAAAAACATAAAAATTAATATAAGTAACAATTGCCTTGATTATCAATAAATACATAGTATGTAACATTTACTGTATATTTTATACAATTTATACATTCTATTACATGCAACAATATTTTATAGCATCAAATCAATTTAACAAATATTTTTTATTTCATTGATTTCCATCACATTGCCGACTATGAACCACCATGTGTCTATTCAGACTACTTGCTTGTGTGAATGTCTTATTGCATATACTGCACTGATGGGGCCGTACTCCGTCATGAATCAGCATGTGTTTTGTCATATTACCTAATAGTTTGAATCTCTTATTGCATACACTGCATTCATGAGGGCGCTCAGCACTGTGGATAACCATGTGACGTTTCAGATTACCCAATTCTGTGAATGTCTTATTACAAATATTGCATTCATGGGGTCGTACTCCATCGTGTATCAGCATGTGATTTTTCAAACTACTGGACTCTGTAAATGTCTTATTGCATATACTGCATTCATGACGGCGTACTCCGTCATGATTCAGAATGTGGCGTTTCAAATTACTTAATTCTGTGAATGTTTTATTGCAAATATTGCATTCGTGTTGTCGTGGTACTCCAGTGTGAATTAGCATGTGATTTTTTTAGAGTACTTGATTGTGTGAATGTCTTATTGCATATAGTGCATTCATGGGGGCGTAATCCACTGTGGACGACCATGTGTCTTTTCAAAGTACTTAATTGTGTGAATGTCTTATCGCATAAACTGCATTCATAGGGGCGTAACCCACTGTGAATGAGCAAATGATTTTTCAATGCAAGTGATTGTCCGAATGTTTTACTGCATACATCACATTTAAAAGAGAACTCTTTGGAATGAGTGACCATGTGCTTTTCCTTTCCTTTTAATAGTTTGAAAGACTTGGGACAGATTTCGCATTTGAAAGGGTGTTCTTTGCTGTGACTGGGCATATGATCGACCATATGCTCTTTCAAATGATATGATTGTGTAAATGATTGATTACAAATGCCACATTCATAAGTGGATGTCTCGACTGACTCATGTTTGACTTCCTCTTCTATAGTCACTACGGAATTCATGAATCTTTCTAAGCATGTTTCATCTTTTTTAGAACACGATTCAGAATTAAAAATAGCCTGATTAGCATCAACATAATCCTTAATTTCGCGTTTAAGGTCTTCTTCTGAAAATTCTGGTGGTTCAATTTTAATTGCCTGATCATTCATAGACATAACTGTTTCTTCTGACATTTTTAAATAATTTGCACTCTCTCTCGTTTACCCAGTAAATATTTACGACAACAGTTAAACAATAATAATAATTAATAATATGCCAGTTTATACATTAAACTTTTCAATATGTTAAATAACTTTCACTAAATTTACATTTATTATTTGACATTTGAAGCATAGAGTATATTCAAGAAGATGGGACATTTATCAAATTGCTTCGATATTTAGCAGATGGCGCGTAATTTCAAATTCATTAAAGTTCTCTACATCTCAAATGTTAAGAAATGTTCTTGTTATTATTTAAATCCGCGAGCCTTTCGACTTCTGAAAAGATATAACCATAGATAAAAAAGAGTGCGCGTAAGGTTTATAGGCAATGGAAGTAAAACTTTTTTGCTATTGAACGAGATGGCATTTAAGTTAAAAATAAATACATCATATAACAATTTTGAATAATGTTTATTAGTAATGTTGTAACACTCGTGATGTACTTTTATTAATTTCAACCAATATGCATATTTATATAAAAATAAATTATAAATTATATATATAAATAATGAAGATATTCATATATTCATAATAGCATTGAAAATGTTTGTAATATTTGAAAACAATAATGTAATTAAAGTCATACTTCAAATATGACATGATGGGTTTGTCGTTTTAATTAGTATTTAGAAATGAACCTTCATTAGAGAAATAAAGTATTTGCTGATTTATAAATTCTATAATATTCGTTCATACGATATATATGTTATATAATAGATTACATATATGTTAAATAACGCCTAAACAAATATTGTTTTCGCAACTTTACTCAATTAAAATTAACATGCATTCATTGACTGCTTGTATTTTTTGTACTTTTTCGCTGGCGAAATAATCTCATTCTTTGAACAGCTGTATAATATAACTGTTTTGCCTAAAGAATATTTTCTATTTCAATAACTTCAAAGATTCATAGAAACTACAAATAACATAGAAATTATTTCAATAAACTTATGTTTCGTACAAAGCGCAAATGTTGCATTTGTTTTATTATTTTTATTATAATAATTTACGGAAAATAGGGTAAAATATTCTTCTGATTCAGGCATTATTCATTGAATCAAGATTAGTACTATGATGTAACTTTAAAATGTTTATTTATCTATGCCGATCTCCTTGTTGATATGAATACGCATACAACATTGATGCCAGTACGCATACAACGACAGATCTCTATTCACATACACGACGACTAATCACAATCGACCCGTATAGAAATGATTTCATCGAGAGGGAATGACGTACAGTTCGGGAGTAGGGCTATTTCCGTTGCATTTGTAAGGATTTACACCCTAGTCGCGCCTAAAGAAGTTTTACTTCAAAAAACAAATAAAATTATAAAATAATATAATAATATGCAATAATTGCTTGATTATCAATAAATAAATGCATTATGTAATGCTTACAGTGTATTTTATACTATTACATGCAAGAATATTTTATAACATAAATTCAATTTAACAAATATATTAATATTTCATTGATTTTCATCATGCTTCTGACAATGTACAATTTGTTGAATTGAGTAAATCTTTTCTATGCAATAATTTGCAATTTCACATTTCCAAGGATAGTTTCTATTATGTTGATCCTTCAGACTACTTGATTGTCTTCATGCAGGCGCTCATCGCTGTGAATGACCACCATGTGACGTTTCAGACTACTTGATTCTGTGAATGTCTTTTTACAAATATTGCATTCATAGGGTCGTACCCCACTGTGTTTCTGTATGTGTTTTTTCAGATTACATAATAGTGTGAATTTTTTATTGCATATAGTGCACTTATGGGGGTGCTTACCACTGTGAACGACCATGTGATATTTCAACCTAGTTAAAACTGAGAAAGCCTTATGGCATTGTTTGCATTTATAGGGACGTGGCTTGTGCTTCTGCATGTGACTTTCCAGAATACTTAATTCTGTGAATTTTTTATTGCATAAACTGCATTTATGGAAATTTACTTCATTGTGAATTGTTTTGTGGTGCCTTTTCAGACCATATAAATCTGTAAATGTCTTATTGCATATAGCGCATTCATGGGGGCGTGGGCGCACTTCAATGTGTGTCAGCATGTGACTTTTCAGACTATGTGATTGTGTGAATGTTTTATTGCATTTACTGCATTCGTAGGGCCGTACTCCCTTGTGAATTAGCATGTGTTTAGTCAGATTACCTGATTGTTTGAATGTCTTACTGCATATGTTGCATTTATGGGGTCGCACTTCGTTGTGAATGAGCATATGATTTTTCAGATTACCTGATTGTGAGAATTTCTTATAGCATATGTGGCATTCATGAGGTCGCTCACCATTGTGTACAAGCATATGAGTAGTTAAATTACCTGAATATGTGAATGTCTTATTGCATATCTTGCATTTTACGTGTCGTTCTTCAGAATGTATAATCATGTGTGCTTTCAACCCTTTTGAATGTTTGAATGTCTTATTGCATATCTTGCATTTTAAGTGTCGTCCTTCAGAATGTATAATCATGTGTGCTTTCAACCCTTTTGAATGTTTGAAAGTCTTATGACAGATTTCGCATTTTAAAGGACGCTCTTCGCTATGAGTAGGCATATGCTCATTTAAACGATATCTTTTTGCAAATGATCTATTACAAATGTTACATACATAAGTGGATGTCTTGATTGTTTCCTGCTTGACTTCTTCTTCTATTTTTACTTCAGAATTCATGAATCTTTCTAAACAAGTTTTATCATCCTCAGAACTCGATTCGGATTTAAAAATATCATCAAGAACATCAACATCATCCTCAATTTCGCGTTTAATGTCTTCTACAGAATATTCTGGTGGTTCAATTTTAATTGCCTGGTCATTCATAGACATAATTGTTTCTTCTGACATTTTAAAATATTTTCACTTACTCGCGTGTACTCAATAAATATTAGTCTAAATATATTCAATAATAATATGATTTAATTAATATTTATAAATATTTAAAATGATTTCAACTAATTTGACTTTTACTATTTGACATTGAAGCATAGAGTACATTTTCAGAAGGATGAGACCATAGATAAAGATGAGACATTTATCAAATCGCTTTGATATTTAGTAGATGGCGCGTATTTCAAATTCAGTTACGGTTTTATCATAGACCTTATAATATTATTAGTCCAGTTATTTAAGCTTAAATTAGGTAAGAATATCGGAATTCAAGATACACAGCTGTAAGACTGTAAATACCCAAAAATAGCACCCTAAAGGTATTTCGAATTACGAGGTGAACTTAATTATGATTATACTATAATTGCATAATTATTATTATACTTTGGAAAATCGTTATAAAATATTCTTTCTTGTGATAGAATTTGTAAATAGTATGAAATGTACAAGAAGCATTACATAATATGCATTTATCTTTGGATAATGAAAGCAACTATTACGTAATTATTGCGGACTATCTGAATGTTAATTTAAGAGCTGAAACTTTTAGAGATTTTTCTTGGAAGCAAAGAAATTCGAAAATGACCGTATTAAGGAGCATCCAAATATATATATATATATATATATATATATATATATATATATTTGAATAGTCCTATTAATATTTGATGTTGATATAATATATTTAATTTGAGTTTAAAAGTCGGGCGTTACATCAATAAAAATAGTATGAGAGTTTTTAGAAATTTATTTAAAATCCATACGTTTTTGTTAGCTTCTTAGAAACTACCTTCATGTTGCAATCAATATAACTACAAAAATAAGATCTAAATAAATAATATGTAAAAAAAATTCATAGAAAAACAATAATAATAAAACACTTACAATTTTGTATCCTAATATAACAGATGAAAACTTTATTACTCCATTGTATTAGTATGTGCACAGTGGTAAAATATATATTTTTTAACATCACAAATGGTAAAATACAAATGAACACGAATAAACATGAATAACTCAACAAGTTGTCGAAACTATGTATTTACTATTCAGAGTCTAAGATAGAAATGTTACTTTTTTGAAATAGTTCTTTAACATGTGTTCAAATTTTACGAGAAATTTAAAAAGCGATGGGATCTTGTCATTTTTGAAGAAATTTTGACACGGTATTTAGGAACCACGTGTTTGTTTCGTTCAAGGCCGTGTTATCGAATCGTTTGTTTATGACTTTGTCGTTATGCAATTGCAAAAACAACCCCTCAGCAAATCTTCTTTTAATTACGTTCTCTTTAAAATGTAAAATTTTTGGGTTGAAAAAATCTATATTATAATTATTTATATGCTCGGTTAACATGGTTTTGAATTGTTTGGGATTTTTTGTTATTTTTATACCATATATATATAAATGTTTTAGGCCAAACTTAGCGACAAATCAATGAGTTTTATTCATTCATTTGTTCACTAAATTACATCTAAAAACATTTTTAAAATTTTTGAAAATTTTTCCATGCTATTTCCATACAAAACTTTGATTGAATCGCGCTCTATCTAAACGTTAATATTAAGAGCTAAAACTTTCAGAGGATTAATTTTTATCAGTTTGGAACCATTTGAGCCCTTGGGAGCAAGGAAATTAGAAAATGTCCATATTAAGGACCACTCTAATATATGTATATATATAATGTACTAGAATACCTGGCCACGCTTTGCTGTGGCTTTTATTGAAATCTACAATTTTATTTCTTTATTTTTTAAAATTGTCCAAAAAGGTTTAATTTTCGATACACGGATATTTCTAATTTCTGTCTACAAAACAATTTTTACAACTTCTTTTGATAATTTTTTTGCATAGTAAATTATAAAACTCCGAAGAATAATTAATTGGCCTATCTGTGGCTTAAAGTGCTTTAAATTTAAAGTATGTCCAATTCAATTAAAACGAATGGTAATAATTAATAATTTTATTAATAAATAAATAGTACTTAAATTATAATACATATATTTTTATATAATAGTGTACGTATAAAATTATCCTAACTTATTTATTTGATACGTTCTATGACTTTCTATCACTTTTAGCATAATGTATTGTACTTTCATTATTTTTTGGTGTTGTACTGCTTGTGTTCTGGCTGCTTCGTCTAGGGAGTTGCCTTTCCCTGGATAAATTACTCGACCTTTCCTGAAATCGAAAAATATTTTATCACTATGGTATATTAAATTTTAACTTCTCATAGGGTAAGTTATTGTAATCGTTCAAAAATCGCAAATAGAATTAGTGGTGTATGGCTTTGTGCCTTAAGGCAAATTGCTGGAACTTCCCGTACCTAAATTATATATTCTAGGAAAAAAATCAGTAATCAATAAATATTGATCAAAGATTTACAACAATTGTTTTATACATTTTCAAATAGATAATTATAATCACTATATATTTTATCGTCAATAAAATATACAGTGAGGATCTTATCGCTCAAAACACTTGAGAAAGTTTACATTAGCAAGAGGTGCAGAATGAAACCGCGAGACCTGCCTTACCAAAAATTTCATCAATTATTCATTTCGTCATTACAAGTAAAATGCTTTTTAAATCATTCAAATCTGTTTTCTCAAAAACTGTATTCCCATTTTCTGCACTCTTTGCTCCGTATCTCCGTAACGGCTGGACCTGCCTTTGCCAAAAACTAATCAGCACATCTCCCTATCAATAGGAATCGAATGTTTTTTGAACCATTAAAATCGGTTTATCCGCGCGCCCGAAAATTAAATAAATTATAATTAAATAAATTATAATTATAATTAAATAAATTGTATCCATTCATACATACACACACATTTATTTTTCCTGAGGTATGCCAAAATGTTCAGAAACCTTTGAAACGTAAAGGTGTGCAAAAAATTTTATTATCGATTTTTTTGCGATTACTGTAACTTACTCTACGGGAAGTTGAAAAATGTATATGTGTATATGTGTGTGTATGCGTGGATACAATTTTCCTCCCACGATTTTGGGCGCATGCATCAACCGATTTGAATGATTCAAAAAAACACTCGATTCTTATTGATATATTGATTTCTTTTGGTTCTTGCATCTTGCTTTGTGGCAAAATGCCACTTACAAATAATATATTTTTGTATCCATATTGATATTTATTCATAAAAAACTCTATCTCTTTGCAAGATTTGATTTTGTTCAATATATAGTTTGTCTATATTGCAATTTTAGAAAAAATCTTATAAAGAATAGAAAGTATGGGTCCCTTGATCAATATTAAAACCATTAAAACGATTCAAATCTACTCGACTATGATGATTAATACGCTTTTTTTAAAGCGAATTGCTGGAACTTCCCGTACCATAATGAAATATTCGAAGAATAATATTTAGAAAAAACTAGTGGTGTGTATGGCATCGTGTCTTAAGGCAAACTGCTGGAACTTCATGTACCGTAACGAAATTTCGAGGAATATTAAATGTTTTCAAATAGATTATTATAAATACAGTAACATTTATTTATAAGAATTATATAAACTGAATTGCAAAGTAGAAATTATTTGTTTAAAGTATATTAGAACTTAAGTTTGAATTACAATTAAAATCAAAATTATTTTTGATATACAAAAAAAATATTTTTCGAAAAAAAAAATTCAATAAAAAAATCGTAAAGCAATCATTTTGTTAAAACAAGCAGAAAGTTTTTTGAATCATTCAAATCGGATGCTTAGTTCTCTCAAAAACTGCCATTTTTTGCATATTTTGCTAAGTATCTCCGATTGTTAATGTTCTGGAGATAAATTGATTTATGATTCACATTTGATTTGCTCAGATATAACAAGATAAAGCAAAAATAATGAAAGTTACAGTATTTGTAATAATATATTTGAAAACGTTTACAATTTCTCGAATATTTCGTTACTACTATTCAATTTGCCTTAAGGCACGATGCCATACACCACTAGTTGTCAATTATATTACCTGGCTTGTATTGGTTTTTTCGGTACTTCTATTCGTCTTGTTGACTTCTATGCTCGTTTGCACAGAATCTTCATAACTATCATTGTAGTCCGGAACGTATATCCTCATATTATTATTGTTTTCTGTTGGAGCAGGCGCATTTGGTTGACTAATTTGAGGGCTACTTTGTGGACTATGTTGAGGTTTATTTTCCGCTGCAATCCTCTTCTCTGTATTCGATCTCGAATATTGCTGTTTCTTCTTCAAAATATTCATCAAGTTGCTATTGATATTGCCTGCGGCCTGTAGAGTTGCCAAAGTTTCTGCAGCTTGCCGATTTGGCAAAGTCGTGAAGTAGTTCCTAGAAAAGGCGTGATCCATTTGGATGTTCTGGTTTTCAGTTTCGCTGGAAGGACTTGTCGGAGGAGCAGGATTTATAAGCTGTTCCAACTCTTGCTGGTTTTGCAAAGGTTCAATAGCCACGTTTTGCTGCTGAGTTATATCGTTCTGCGCTTCTGGTTCCACCAAAGGTAATATACTAGGTATCCTCTGAGAAGCTTCGGATTGGTGATAATCGATATTGGCTTGTTGTTGTGCTTGATAAGCTTGCTCGTCCGCGACTTGCTGGTTGTTTGCAACCTGCTGCTGGTAGAACTGTATGGAACCAGGTTCTACGTAGTTGAATGTTTGATATTGAGGCTGAAAACTATTCTGCTGCTGCGTTTGAAGGTAGCTGGTATCCGGAATTTGGTATGTTTGCTGCTGGTGTTGGACTATCGCGTTTGCTGGTTGTTGGATGTAGGCTAGAGCTGAATCCATTGTCTGAAATAGAATTTTAGGATTATTGACTACACATTGACTCATCATAAAAAGTAAGGTTTATACAAAAACCGAAAACTTGGTAATTTTTTTTTGGTTTTGGTCAAATAACTCACGTATAACTTCACGTTATATGAAGGCACTCTTTTTTAATTAGCCTAGCAGAAACTAGATAAAATTTACCACAATTCCATTTAAACACTTATATACAGTCCGATATA